TCATCCACACCCTGGAGAGCCAGCGCACCTTCTCAGCTCGGGACCGTGCCTATGTGGCGTCTCTGCTCACCGTGGCGCTGCATGGGAAGCTGGAGTACTTCACGGACATCCTCCGCACCCTGCTCAGTGACCTGGTGGTCCAGTATGTGGCCAAGAACCCCAAGCTGATGCTGCGCAGGTCTGTGTGGGTGTTGGAAGCAGTAGGGGCCAGGTGGCTTTGCACATCTGGAGCCAGGAGATGAGTCAGGACTTCCAGGACCTGGGAGTCTACAGAATAGAGAGCCTTGCAGCCCCACCTGCTGACCCTGCCTCCCTGCCCCACTTTCCTGTCATCCCAGGACAGAGACCGTGGTAGAGAAGCTGCTCACCAACTGGATGTCTATCTGCCTCTATACTTTCGTCAGGGTGAGGAAGGCAGAGGTGGATGGGGCTCCCCTTCAGGGAGGGGCAGTCTCCAAACCACGCAGCCACTGGCCCCCGCGCAGCTTGTGCATGCCTGCCCAGAATGTCCTCAGTCACCTTAAGCCTCCTGTAGCCTACATCCTGTCCCTTTCCCCAGCGTGGGTCGTGTCCCATACACCTCTGCCCCATGCCTGTCACCTGCCCCAGGGGCTCTAACTGCCTGCCACTCCCCCAGGACGCAGTAGGGGAACCTCTGTACATGCTCTTCCGTGGAATTAAGCATCAAGTAGATAAGGGACCAGTGGACAGCGTGACTGGCAAAGCCAAATACACCCTGAATGACAACCGCCTTCTCAGAGAGGACGTGGAGTACCGTCCCCTGGTGAGGGAGTGTGTGTGCGTATGTGTGTGCGCGGGAGTGTCAGTCTCGGTGGGGTGAGGAAGGTGAGCGTGTGTGATTGTGGCTGGCTGTGCCTGGGGATAGAACCAGCTGGACCTCTGGGAAAGAGACCTTTAGACTAACTTAGCAGGACAGAATCCTGAGGATAGGGTCTCAGAAGGTCCTCAGGCTTGGGAGGGGGTCAGAGTGGCCACAGCCAGGGTCTGGGGAGCAGCCCACACTGCCTGGGACAAGTCCCAGTGCTTACTGCCCAGGGCCTGAGTGTTCGCCTGGTCATGGTCTCATTGTCCTGTCCGGGTGATGTGCCCACCAGGCTGGGAGCCACCCTGCAGATGTCCCTCTGGGTTTGCTTTCCCCTTAGTGACCTACCCAGAGTTCCTTTGGAAAAATCCCAGTCAGGCTTCGCCAACCCTGCTTGTCTGTTAGGCTGGTGGGAATGAGCCTCAGGTGCCTCAGCCTTACCGGCTGAGTCAGCAATCTGGGGACCCAAGTTAAGAGGGACTTGTGCTCACTCATTTTTTACCATATACCCCGTAGATATTTACGAGAGCTCTGTGCTAGGTACTGGGGCCACAGTGGAGGGAGCTGCTGATGGCTTCTCATGGGTTGTCCCTGTCCTTGGCCTGTGTCTTCATCATCCTTCGTGTGGCATGAGCCCTGACTGCTCCCATGTGTCCTGTGTAGACCCTGAATGCGCTGTTGGCTGTGGGGCCCGGGGCAGGAGACGCCCAGGGCGTGCTCGTGAAGGTCCTGGACTGTGACACCATCTCCCAAGCCAAGGAGAAGATGCTGGACCAGCTTTACAAAGGAGTGCCTATTGCCCAGCGCCCAGACCCCCGCACCTTGGATGTTGGTGAGAGCGGAGGGGAAGGGTGGCTTGGGGACCTGAGCCAGAGCTGGGCTGGGCTGGTCCTGGACCTGCTCTGCAGGCAGCTGTCGCTCAGTTCGGGTGGGGGCAGAGCTGGGCTGTAGAGCGATGACCTCTCACCTGGTGAGGGGCACCTGCTCCTGGTCTTCAGAGAGGATGGGTGGGGCTGCCCCTGCTGGAGGGCCTATGTCCCTGTGGAGGAAGAAATAGGTTCCAGGGTGTCCTGGAAGCCCTGGTCCAAGCCCCACCTTGCCCTTGCAGAGTGGCGGTCTGGCGTGGCTGGGCATCTCATTCTTTCTGACGAAGATGTGACTTCTGAGGTCCAGGGTCTGTGGAGGCGCCTGAATACGCTGCAGCATTACAAGGTGGGGTGGGTGGCAGTTGGAGGAGGGGTGAGGGGTATGGTGGGGGTGGCTGGTGGAGGGTCACCAGCTGTGGTCAGCAGGTCCCAGATGGAGCAACTGTGGCCCTGGTCCCCTGCCTCACCAAGCACGTTCTTCGGGAAAACCAGGATTATGTGCCTGGAGAGAGTGAGTACTTCCCACCCCCACCGCCGCCCTCTGCCCTTGCTTTGCGCAGTCATGAGGAAGGGAACTCTGGACCTCAGGGTGGGCTCATGTCTACTTCCACTCCACCCAAAAACGCCTTCCCCAGGTGCCCCCACCTCTGGGAGTTGGCAGAACCCCAGAGCTCAAGGGAGGGGGCACCTGATGAAGGGTGACAAGTGGTGGGGACTTGGCACAGGGACGCCAATGCTGGAGGATGTGGATGAGGGGGGCATCCGGCCCTGGCACCTGGTGAAGCCAAGCGAGGAGCCAGAGCCTCCCAGGCCGAGGAGGGGCAGCCTTCGGGGCGGGGAGCGTGAGCGAGCCAAGGCCATTCCTGAGATCTACCTGACCCGCCTGCTGTCCATGAAGGTGGGTGGGGTCTGGGCTGGGGCAACAACATCCACTTGTGGGAATTGGGGGTGGTGTGGGGCTCACACAGGACTAGTGCCATGTGTCTGGGGCTGAGGTCCCGGTCCCCTTGCTGACCACACCTGTGCTTCCCACCCCCTGCAGGGCACCCTGCAGAAGTTTGTGGACGACCTGTTCCAGGTGATTCTCAGCACCAGTCACCCCGTGCCCCTCGCTGTGAAGTACTTCTTTGACCTGCTGGATGAGCAGGCCCAGCAGCATGGCATCTCTGACCAGGACACCGTCCATATCTGGAAGACCAACAGGTGGGAGTGGGGCCCGCAGGCCGGGTGCGCAGGGCCTCTCCTGCCTCTGCAGCTCGCTCACGGCCCTGCCCGCCCCGCCCGCAGCTTGCCGCTGAGGTTCTGGATCAACATAATAAAAAACCCGCAGTTTGTGTTCGACGTGCAGACGTCTGATAACATGGACGCGGTGCTGCTGGTCATCGCGCAGACCTTCATGGACGCCTGCACCCTGGCGGACCACAAGCTGGGCCGGGTGAGTGGGCCGGGCTGGGGTTGGGGGACATGGAGGTCATGGGTGGGGCAGGGCAGAGTGGTCCAGGGGTGGGCGGTGCTATAACACACACAGATTCCAGGCTGTCCCAAGAATGTCAAGGAGGAGGGCTATGGCAGGTCTGTGCCTCCAGGCCCCAGGCCAGGCTTTGTCCCTGGCTCCCTAGGAGGTGGCGGTGCCTCATCCTTCAAGCAGAGCAAGGGCAGGTGCTGGCGTTGATTCACAGGGTTAAGACGTGGCCGCCAGTGCAGCCTGTGGGGTTGGCAGGAGGCCAGGACCACTAGGTGAGGGCTTACCCTGGGGGTGATGGAAGCCACTGGAGGTCTAGAAACGGGATGGGGTGGGTGGATGTCAGACTTGAGTTAGGCGGAGCCTTCTGGCAGTTGTGTAGTGGGTGGACTGGAGCCTGAAGTCCACAGAGGAAGCTGGGCTGTCCTTGGGATGAGTAGTGGCCAGGTTCAAGGTGGACAAGAGGGTACAGGGCAGGCAGACACTGTGGGCTGGATGTAGGGGATGAAGAAGATGGAGGGGTCATGGGGGATCCCCGGGCTCCTGGTTGGAGTGAGCTCAGACTTGGAGGAGGTGAGCCCAAGGCGATGGTGGGGCCACTGGGCGGTTTCCAGGTGGCGATATGGATTCTGCGATCGCAGGGCAGCTCCAGGCTGCCTGGTGCATTTGGTTTCTGAGCGTGGTGATGTCTGCCTGCCCCATGTAGACCAGAAGGGAGAGCCTGGGGGCGTGCCAGGCGTGGAGGGAGGTGTGACCAGGGTAGCTGGGAAGCTGAGAGAAGTTCTCAGGGCTGTCTGGTAGCACAGAGGGTGGGGTTGTGTTGTCACTGTAGCCAGAGCCCAGAGAGTCCCATGACCTATATGAGGTCACCCAGTAGGCAAGGCCCTCACAGGTCCACGACTGGGCTCTGCTTAGTCCAGACCCTGGCAAAGTTACCCTTTGACCTCTTGAGAGAGAGAGCTCTACACCTCTGTGAAGAACAGTGGAAAGTTCCACTCCAGTGCAGTCTTTTTGGACTTTTGCTCTGCCTGCAATGAGCTAAACACCTCAGGGCCACAGCAGGACCCAGGGGCCACCTCCATGGTACATGCTATGGTTTTCTTTTCAATCTTCACACTGCCTCCCCTTCCCAGCAAAACTTCAGATGCTTCCTGGGTAGCTCAGGAATGATCCAAACCAGGAGCGCCAGGTGCCTCCCACAGAGAAGGGATGCACCCTGCCTCGGCCCAGGGCTCCTGTCAGGAGGGCGCAGCGCAGTCTCACCCCAGCCTCCCAGCAGCGTCCGGATGAGGCAGCAGGTCTAGAGAATGGAAGCCTGCTTCCCAGAGCCCACAGTCCCTGGGCCGAGCTGGGAGTGGCCCTCAGTTCAGTGGGAGAGGATGTGTCTGGGTGTTGTGAAAACTGTGGGCTCTGATTTCAGAGATTTGCTTCAAATCCCAGCTCAGCTACTTGAGAGGGAGTTGGCCTGGGCAGTTGACTTCATTTCCTGGTCAGTTTTGTGATTTTTAGAGTGATCACATGGGGAATGGATAGCACGTGGAAAGCAGCAAGGGCTGTACACAGCACTGCCCTCTGCTTGCCCTGCATGCCAGGTTCCCTGTAGGTCCAGGTGCAGGCATTCAAACTGAGAAATGACCTTGGAGCAACCTGAGGAGAAGCTCCAGGGGACGAAGGCAGGGACTGGGCTCAGTGGAAGGGAGGGAATGGAGGAGGTCCTTGCAGAAGGAGATGGGCTAGGGTGACCAGCCATCCCTGTTGCCTGGGACTTGGGGCTTTTAAAACTGAAACAGTGCTGGGGAAGTTGGGATGGTTGAACATGCTCACGGCTCTCATCCTTCGTTCCCCTTTCCCCTGCTGGCACCCAGGACTCCCCCATCAACAAACTTCTGTATGCTCGGGACATCCCCCGTTATAAACAGATGGTGGAAAGGTATGAGAGGGCAGGGGAAGGGCCTGGAAGGGCAAGGGTGGACAGATCGGCGGGTATTTACAGCTGAGGTCCTGGGGTGGCCCGGGGGGGGGTGAGGAGTGGGTTTGTGTTCCCAGCAGCTGCTGTCTCCACAATCTCTGGCAGGTACTACGCAGACATCAGACAGACCATCCCCGCCAGTGATCAAGAGATGAACTCCATCCTGGCTGAGCTGTCCCGGGTACGTCCCTCCTTCTGCTTCTTGGGTTAAGCACAGGCCTCTTGCCATGATGATCCCGTCCCCTTCACACTGCTTTGCAGAGAAATTTTGGGGACCTCAGCAGAATGTTTCAGTTGACACTTTAAAAGACCAGAGCTCCCAACATTTCATCAGCAAGCAGCAGGGGGCCTGTCTCGACAGCCGCCACCTCCCCTGACTCAGCGGGGTTCTGGGATGACCGAATCCCTCGGTCGGGTCTGTGGATCACAGCCCTGGGGAGGCGAGGTTATGGGGACTCAGTGCGGACTCCCTGTGTTGGCCCTCGTGGGCCTTCTGTTGCTCCGCTTCCCCGGGTGGTGTGGACATGCTCCACCTACTCCTGAGCAGCCCAGCACCAACCCCAGGAACTTATAAACTGTTTCTGAAACGATGATCGCAGCCTTGGCAATAACAGAAGCTATGATTTGGGGGTGTTTCTGTGTGAGGTGCTTTGGTTATCTTCTCGTTTGACCCCCATAAGAGTTCCACAAGTTAGGTGATATCCACTCCTTTGTCCCGAGGTGTCCCTACGGAGGCGCCTGGGTGTGAGCGCAGGGAGGACTTGAGTGAGATCAGAGCATCTTTCCCTCTTGGCTCCACAATCACCTGGGATGACACAGCATCCCAGCCGGAGCCCCGAGAGGGACAGAGGCAGACCTGGGGTCTCTCCACCAAGGAGGCCCCTTGGCCCGTCCTGTCCTGTCCGCGTTGAGCACGCCTGACCTGGGATCCCCCGTCTGTAGAGGGGCTCTGCTTCCTACTGCAGGGCTCGTCCCTTCCTCCACCTCCCAGGCCCCCTGCTCCCCCACCCCTTCCCTGGGTTCTAGGCCTCCTCTGGTGGCTGGCGGCACCCCTCTGTCATCTTTCTGTTCCCCCTAGAACTACTCTGGAGACCTAGGGGCACGAGTGGCCTTACATGAACTCTACAAGTATATCAACAAATACTATGACCAGGTGGGCAGAACCCTGGGCCCT